ACCATAACCAGCCCTCCGGCTGAAAACAACCAAAAAATGTAGGGGATAATATTAAAGAAAGAAAAAATCTTTTAAAATGTATTAATCAGCTCCAAATACTCAGTGGCCAAAATCTAAGAGAGAGTGGGAACCTGGAAGGTAAGTTGAGCATTGAAGCCGGCTTTTGACTTGAGTGCATTTGCTTAACCTAAAACACATGTTGATTTTTATTATTTCATGAAAATGCAAGAATAGAAATACCCTATAGAATTTTGTAACCACAACTAAGCTAATGTACACCAAATAGTGAACTTGCAGAACACGGAAAATAAAAAAGATCTTAATTGAAGCGAGAGAGGACATTTTACCTTCAAAGGAACAACAGTTAGACTGAGAGATGACCTTTGAGAGTAACAATGGAAACCTGCATTCAGAGCAATGATGTTTCCAGTGGGCTAAGGAAAGAGGACTGTGAATCCCCAAATGTAGTCACTTAAATATCTTGGAAGAGCAAAAATGAAGTAGCATTTTCTTTTTTTAAGACAGAGACAGAGGGCAAGAATTTGCCACCAACCGTTCAGAAGGGTGTGCTTCAGGAGAAAGGAAAGCTCTATCCTAGCTGGAAGACAGAAGATACAAAAAAGTGAGAGCAAAGAAGATGGGAAATATATGGGAAAATCTAACAGGCATTGAGTATAGAAGCCAATGATAATAATGTTTTGTGCAGTTGAAAAATGTAAGCTCGAATAAAACCCACATATATAATAACATTAGCATCTAGTTTGGGAAGGATTCTTGTAAGATTCTTGTATCTTTTAGGAAAAATGGTAAAGATTGACTTCATTTGGATTTTTCTTTTACATATCCATGTTAAAAACCTTAGAGTTACTACTAAAATACTAGAAATAGACTGTAAAATCTTTAAACCAAAAAAGGGAGAAATGGAATTGAAGATAATTAAGACATGTTTTTTTCCTTTAAGGCCCTTAGTATCTAATCAGCAGTGCTGGAGACAAGGAGTAACTTCAGGGGACTCTCTTGGCCCCAGCTTGTGAACCACCTAGATATGCTTGGCTTCACATTTCCTCCCACTCCTCACCTCAAAGCTTGAGCTGCTTTGAATTGTTTCCAGACCCGAGAAACCCTAGCCAAGGCTCATGCCCGGCCTGCAGGTGTCTGCTGCCACTGCCACATTAGAATTGAGGAGCCTCTGGATGGGTGCCAGCTGACAAGCAGGGATTACCACGCCCGAGTGCTTGCGATGCCTCGCCTTGGCACTCTCTGGCTTCTTTAGCATCTGCCTGGAAGGGCCAGGTACCACAAACCCAGTGTATGGGAGTTATCAACAGTTGGAAGGGACGTTGACCAGTGAAAGGCGGGAGACAGGAAGAAACCAGCAGATTGTTCTTTCTCCCTACTCCACTAAACCGCACAGTTTCTTCCAAGGCTCAGTAATTCAAACTATTGACATATCCTGAGAGACTGAGCAGAGCTGTAGCCAGCTTGATTATAAACCCTCTTAAATTAGTGCTCCCTCTTGAATGATTTCCTTTCTTTTTTTCCTCTCACTCATGCTTTCCTGGGCTTGCACCCTTTCGATAACATAAATGTTTGTCTTAGACTGTGTTCTAGTGATTCCAGGCTAAGACACAACCTTTAGTCACCTATCCATAAGCTGCATTAGAGAATCCTCCAGAAACCATCCAAAATAAACATGTAAACTAAATAATAAAAAATTTCCTACTTGTGCAAATGCAGCTTTAAGTTGATTTCCCACTTCTTCCTCCCTTTCTAACAAAATTGGTGCCATCTCCTGAGCTCTTGCCACATAGAAATTGGAACCCTGGTATAGAGAAGGTAAGCAAAACATGTGAATATCTTTCTTCTGAGATAAAGTATGGTAAGTTCTATACCATAGAGGCACAAAATATGTTAGAGAGATGAACTAGCCAGTCAAGTCTAATGGAGCACAGAGTATGTTGGTGAAATAATAGGTTAAAATTGGAAGGTTGTCCTGTGGTTTTAATATTATAGGCTTTGAATTAAAGGCTAGGTGTTTGAATTTTATTTAGTGGATGATGGGAAGTCAATTAAAAGTTTTTAACAGTGAAGTGACAATCAGGAGAAAATAACACATGTTATAAATATATAGAGATGTAATATACACACACATTTGTACATACGTATATGTATTTGAGCAAAGGGTTTACAAAAATCCCCCCCCTTACAATAGAACTTCACCTTCAATTAGTTCTCTTGCTCTATTTCCCTGGTAACCTGACAGAGATTATCAGTGTGTTTCAACATTGCTTATGATAAGAATGACCCTGGCTGATGAAATGCATGTGCATTGGGAGAAAGACTAAAACCCTGGAGAGGTTTGCCGTACTTTGGGCCTTCCGAAGTGCAGTGGTTCTTGTAATTGAGCATGTCCCTTGTGGGGACCCTGGAAGCTGTGCCTTTGGAGTTGTTAGAAGAGGTGTGGGCACCTGTGGGATGTGAGACTTTTAAGCTAGGACAGCTCCTTCACCTGCCCAATGTGAGCCTCATCTTCTTGAACCTGAATTACCACCTGTGTGGACCATCAGAAGGCCTTCCATGAAAGAGGAATGTCTTGGTAAGCTCTGGTTCCTGTCCTGTGTAGGTTGATTACAAATGTGGTCTGCTTAAATGTATAGTTGAATCAGATGAAAATCTAGTGGTGAAATGACCACGTTAAATAAGACCAATAACTGAGAAATAACAAAAGTGATATGACTAACTACAAAAGAAATTGTGAAACTTATATATATTAAAAAAGATACTCCAAATGAATTCAGAAGACAATTTAGGAAACATTTAAAATCAGATGGCAGAAAAAGGGTTAATATCTGTAATATAATGTCTCCTTAATAAGAAAATATAAATTGTGCAACAGGAAAAATAGGGCAAAGGATAAGAATAGGCACTTGACAGAAAAGCAAAACCAAATGGTGAATCAACAAATGAAAAGATGGTCAGTTGTTAGAGATCAAGGATTATACTACAATACCTCATCCCATATCAGACTAACAATAACATTTCTGTGGGTGGGCCATGGTAGTATTTACTAAAACTAGTATTTTTCCCACCCAAACCTATCCATTTCTGTGGTACTATCCCTAATAGTAAAAGCACATTATGAAAATAAACAAAGATGTTTATTGAATGTTGTTATTACCAACAACAGTGTGAATGCCCAGCAATTGGTAATGGTTGAATAAAGGATGGTACATCTATTCCATGGACTACTTAGTTAGCAGCCTTTAAAAATTTTATCACTGCCTGGGTTGCGGGCTCGATCAATGACTTTCTCATCATTGATGTTTCTATTTCTCCCTCTCCTTTCCGCTCTCTGAAATCAATAAAGATATATTTTATTAAAAATAAATAAATAAATAAAAATTTTATCACTACCAACAGACTTGATGGTATTTCTTTTTAAAAAAATATGTGTTTTATTGATTTCAGAGAGAGGAAGGGAAAGGGAGAGAGAGAGAAAAACACCAAGAGTCATTGATCAGCTGCCTCCTTGCACGCCCCCTGCTGGGGATCGAGCCTGCAACCTGGACATGTGCCCTGAGCGGGAATCAAATGGTGATTTCCTGGTTCATGGGTTGATGCTCAACTGCTGACCCACGCCAGCTGGGCTTGATTTCTTTTTTTTTCTTCTTCCAAACATTTTAGAAGTTTTTTATTACAAATTGATGTGCAAAATTGTGCATCTTTCTAGTCTAGTCACTAAAGGAGATTCTTCACTAGTTACCTTTTTAACAGAATAGCTTAAATATCTTAAAACAAAAAATATATATCTTTTAAAGTCATTTGCTGGTCTCCTTCTGTATCTTTGCTGCTGAAGATAATGGTATTTCTTTTGAAGTATAGACATATGTGGAGAGTTAGGGGCAGAGAAGTGTGTAAATATAATCCTGGGTGTATAAATAATTATGTAGATTCCTTTTGATGGAGGAGTTGGGTAGTTAGTGGAAGGGGTGGATGAAGAATGGGGTGAAAAAAATGATACCACAAATATATAATTCTATTTTCTAAATTTTATGTGCTGTTATATACTTAAAGAGATACCATATGGTTATTTATCGAAATGTTAATGGCAGTTATCTGAACACAAAGAGTTTCATGTAGTTTTTATGTGTTTCCTTTATACCTTTATGACTTTTAAAAAATATGCTTGTATTTAAATATATATTATATAATTACATGTTTTATATAATTTATAGTATAATGAAAATATATTCAAATAAAGGAAAATCAAAACATCGATTTTATTAGGAAGAGAACCAGTTGCTAAGTGCCTTCTGTAAAGTAGTTTCCCCCTAACCATATTTTCTCCTGTGGTTTCAGTTGTCCAGGGTCAACTGTGGCCCTAAAATATTAAATGGAAAATCTTAGAAATAAACATGAAGTCCTATTTGTACACCATTCTGAGTAGCGTGATGAAATCCTGTGCTGTCCTGCTCAGTCCAGCCCCAGATGTGAATCATCCCTTTGTTTTTCATACCATGCTGTATGCGTTACCCACTAAAGTCTCACAGCTCATAACTTGAGCCCATGTATTTCTAACCATAGTGCCAATTGCACGTTACATGCCTTTTCCCACATACCAGGTATCTTCCTTTATTTAACATGAAGGGGTTCTGCCCTGGAAGAAGCTCTGTGTATGTAAAAGAATAGTCATTTATTCTTAAGAGTTTAAGGGGGAACTGAGGTATTGGTTGTATATTACAGGTTTTCACCTCCAAAATTAAATTTAAATGAGTAAATATTGAGTTCTTGAGAAACCATATAGGCAAAACTATTAATGTTTTATGTAGTGTGTGTGTGTTTCTGTATTTCTGAGGATAAGAATCATAATATTTACATATGAGCCCTATTTCTGCATAATTATGATAAATTTATTTATTTTTGAAATTTATTCAATCAAAAGTAGAAATTTAACAGGTCCATTGCATTCATTTTAAAACTTTTAAATTCTTTATCTTTAGGTTATCTCCACTGTAATGAATACGATAGTCTGAGACTGAGGTGGCTGAGGCAGACGTTAGAATCTTTCATCCCACAGCCTTTGGTAAATGTAATTAAAGTGTCTGAATTGGATGGCAGAGAAATGGGAGATGCCACGCCTGAAACGTTTGACAAGGTACTTTTATTACATTGTGACAAACTGATGGACTCCCAGTGATACCACTGGTATGTTGCTTTTTTGTTGTTTTCTGTCAGCTTCCAGATGGAGCCTGATACAATTTCTCAGTACCCTGGGAAATTCTGATAAAGTGAACATGGAAGCAGTTTTCATTTGATGGTCAGCATGGTTCAAAGGAAGCGGTAACGTTGGGATTGGAGATTGTAGAATGTTTTTTATTTCCAGACACCTCAAAGATACTTAGGAAAAGATCAGATATTATTTGGGTCAGGACACAAACATGTGCATTGTATTGCTCTAATTCGGCAACATTTCATTTTAGGGTGTGATAGTTGAAGAAAAAGAGCATTTCAGTAAACTGAAATGGAAATACTAGTTCCTAAAAATAAATGCAGAGAGTTCAGAAATATAACATCTGTTTAAAATGAGTCACTTTTGTAAAATTTTTTACTGTAGTTGTCAAGAATATGAAATATTAGTGGATATTGTTAGACTTTTAGTCTTCCCATTTTCCCCCGCCCCCAAAATCCAGCCACTGAAAGTTCACAGGAAATTTTGCTGAAAAGTATTGGTGAAGAAATGTCATAAAGAAGAACTTAACCATGGTGTATTTTTGGCTTTAAAAGAAATGTCTTTATTTGCTATTTTTGGTCATGTTCTGGATAGCTTTGTGTCTGAGGATGTGTTTCCAGCACACGTTTGCATTACATGTCCCGTTTTCTCCTAGGTGTTAGTTGATGCTCCATGTTCAAATGATCGAAGTTGGTTGTTCTCTTCTGATTCGCAGAAGGCAGCCTGTAGGATAAGCCAGAGGAGGAAGTTGCCTGTTCTACAGATAGAACTCTTAAGGTAAGGGCTATTAATGCAAACATTCATTTTGGTTTCTAGTGTAATTTAAATTGGCGTGACAGAACATGACACAGGGAAGCCCCCCAATGAAGGGTTTCCTATGTAGGTGTCAGCAATTATTCCTCCAAAGACTGCACCCAGAAAATTCTCAGTCTCTTCCCTTTCGGCTCTCATGCTGTAATGTTCCTTCTGCCCCTGCCCTGTCAATGAAATACAGTATTACTGCACATTGCCTTTTAAAATGATTTTACTGTGGTTAAAAATTGTTTTCTTATTGGGACCATCCCAAGCCCAGGGTTCATCACCCTATTCTTTCGCCAGAATTTGAACCAGAATGCAGCTTTGGACCAGAATACATTTTTGTTTGTTTGTTTGGTAATGAACACATTGTTCTGGATGAGTCAGCCTCCCAGGAAGTGGTAGTAAATTGTTAGCCCCTATGTCCCTAAGAATTTTCCGAAAGGGCATGACCAAGAGATGCTAGGTTTCCTTCATAAATAAGGCATTTTGGGACTACCCTCATTTGAAAAAGATTTCTACTTATGCCCGGCTCCCAAGTAATCCCTATGTTTAATGCTGAATACAACTTCTCTGGAATATTTAAAATATAGTTAAATGATGCCTCATCACTCATTATTTCTCACTTGTGGAAGGAGAATGAGTGACGATTTCTCTGCACTGCCGACAGTGTGCTTGACAATGTGCTTTACTTCCTATGTCAAACTGATATACAACTATGAACATCTGCCATTACCTAAGTATTATGTCAGTACTAATAGCTGGTCTTGTTTTTGTATCAGATGATGTATCAGCTCATTATGGGGACGCTTGCTAATGCCTACCAGAAGGTTCTTCTAAACATTTCTCATCAGACAATTTGTTTGTATGCCTCCAGTGTCACCCTTTCATGCACTGTAATCCTAAGATATTTTGAGAATTCTTATCAACTTTCCCTTTTATCTTTTGGGTTATTAGCTTTGGGATGTTACATAGCTTCTGTTCTACATCTTCTTTCTCACCTAAACTTTCTTGATCTACCTTCTTAGTTAATTATTCCTGCTACTCTGGGCCTTGCCGTTGTTAGACCTTATACCCTATAACAGACACTAAATCTTACGATGGCTTATTAGCATTATGACCTCTAATTTTTGTAATGGCCTGTGAGTAGGCAACCAGAAGCTTCTTCTAAACATTTCTCATCAGACAATTTATCTGAATATTATCTTTCTTCTCTCTCTCATGAAAAATTCTTCCTTCACTTCTTTTTCTTCCTGGTCATTACCAAGCTTACTGTCTTTTATGTTCTGTCTACTGCCTTCCTTCCATTTTGTCTCAATTCACTGTAATATATTCAAACAATACAAGTGAAGTAAAAGGCCCCCTTGGCCACAGTCCCAACCATATACCAGCTTTGTTCCCTGGGTTAACTACTGGACTTAAGTTTGGTGTATAATCTTTCAAACTTTTTCTGTTGCTTTTCTTACAACTACATATACCTAGAGAAATACATTAAAAAATAACTGCTGTCATTGTGTATATATTGTTCTGAAACTTGCTCTTTTTTGTACTTAATATTTCTTAAAGTCTGTTCCTTCTAGATATACTTTTTTCTTTTCAAAAGACTGCCCCTTTTGAATATTTTCTATGAAATATTCAAAGGGGCAGTCTGTCATGCTCCATTTAATTATCTGTTTTGGATACTTAAGTGTTTTTTTTTCCGCTTCTGGGAACTATCTTTTAATTTGTCTCATTGGACATATATGCTAACATATTCCTTGAAGGTTGACCATTTGCAGAGATATTGTTTTCTAAAACGGCTGTACCACTCCTTACCTTCTGTTGCACTTGACTTTGTTGACTGCTTGTTTCCTCTTAAAATAGTGTCTTTGCTTGATTTTTGTAATCCTATCCTTTCCTGATTTTCTTTCTACTTATTTTCTTAATTTGCTCTTAATTAGTTCATACCATAAATTTTGGGTTTCCTTAGGCTACTGGTGTTCTATTTATCTGATAACTTCAACCGATTTAAGACACTATCTTCCAAATATGGGCCTAAGCTCAGATCTTTCTCCCTTGTCTCAGACCTATATGTACATTCATTTTCCTATTCGAGATCTCCATTTGATAGCCCCTCAGACACATAGAACTAAGTTTGTCAAGAAGGAACTCATAATTTCTAATGATCTTCTGCTTCCCCCTCCCAATTAGCAAAACAAAAAATCAAATAGAAACCCCACCAACCTGCCTCTTTTCCTCTCTCCTGTATCTCATTAATCGCCGTGCATACCGTCACGTATTTGACTAAGTTAGAAGTTCATCTCCAACTTCTCTTTCTTGTATGCAATCTATCACTAAGACATTTCAGCTGTACCTGTTACATATTTCTCAAGCCCATCTAATTCTTTTCATCCTTAATAGTCTAATATAAGTATCTGTCACCTAAATCATTGTAACTGGCTCCTAACTGCCCTTCACGTCTCCAGGTGTGAGCTCTATTTGACTCCCCATAATAAAGCCAAATCCAATCTGAAATGTAAATCTGATCTTGTCAGTTTCCTTTCTGGAATAGCGCAATGGTTCCCCATTGTCACTGAGATGTCAGATTCCTTAGTATGACATTCAAGTCCTTTTTGTACATGGTTCCTTCTTATTTCACTAGCCTAGCCTCATGTCGCAGGACTCTTCTTGGCATTGTGTTCTAGCTGAGCAGCTCCTCACACTCACCTTGCACTGTCTCATTTCTGAGGCCAGTGCATTGCCTGTTCCTTTCATTTAAGAGTTCTTCTAACTCATTTTCTCCTTTCTCTTGATTAACTCTCCTGGTTCTTACCTGACTCCCTAGGCCTGAGATTGATATTCCCCTCAAATCTTTAACTTTATTTAAAAATTTATTGATTGTCAGTTCCTCTGCTTGACATTTGCCCAGTGCTTGTCTTTCCCCTCAACATGACCGTAAGCCCCATGGGAGCAGGGATTGTCTGGTGGTTTTTATTCGCGTTCTATATTATAAATTTGTTGTCTGGAATATAGAAAGGGGTCAGTAAATAATTGTTTAAAAACACTAAATTACAAGGGCTGAGTATTTAGAATTTACATCTGTAATTAAATTTATAGCAAAGTTAATCTGACAAAAATAATGATAATGATCATTATTGTGCTGCGTGGTATAATTAGGCATAAATGTGAAGCAATTCACGTAACTTGTTTTGATTAGTATTGCTTTTACATAACCAAAGCATGGTTTTCATCTTAGTTTAGTTTTTCCCCATTTAATACATGTCCCTTAACATCGCACAGCATTTCAGTCATCGTGATGAAGATGCTGCATTTATGTAAAGCTCCCCTAGGCACCTTCTTATGCCCGAGCAACTAGGGCTCTTCTCCAGTGGCCACTCCTCCCTCCCATCATCCTACTCTCCAAAGGACTGGCTTTAGCACCACATCACTGTAGCAGCATATTGACAGGCACAAAGCTGACATCTGAGTCACAATGAGTGTAGGTTCTCATACATACAGTCTTATGTGGTGGGGAAGGACCATCACTCAGGCCATCTCCCTTTCTTTCCCTTGAGCAGCTACTATAGTCCCTGCCTCTGATGTCTGGTCTGTATGAGGTTTAGGAGCCACTTGAAGCAGCTAAAACTCTGAGTCCTTGGCTGTGTGATTATGATGGTAAAGGGGAAAGTGGGGATACTCCAACTATAGGCACAGAAAATGGCTCTAATTCTCTCATATCTACAAGTCTGGGGGTTAAAAAGATAAAGGAAAAAAATGATAATCCCAGCCACAATCTCTCTTTTATCTCCTGACTCCAAAAAATGAAGAAAGGAAGTCTATAGTATTTTTCTCATTGGGGCAGCTCTATCTCTGTATCACATACAAAAAATTTTCTTTCTTTAGATCTTCCTCACCTAGTTATTACATCTCTTTAACAAAGGCAATACTTTTTTTCCACAATAAGAAATAAAAAGTTTTAAATCAAACAATTGCAAGAGAGTCAATATATTGATGTGTGTGTGTTGAGTCAGAAGTATAAAGGGTTGATAGTGGATCCTCATTTGCATTTGCAAAGAACAGTTAGAAAGCAAGCAAGTAAATACTGCCTAGCCTGGTATTATGGACCGAAGATGGCACTCAGAAGGGAGAAACTGAGAGACAAATAAGGAAAACTTTTTGGTTGGACTAGACTTGTATCTGCTTTTGTCTGCTGACATATGGTGCTCAAAGGTACTTTATGCTCTTTGTGGCAATATATTCATTTACCTTATCAGAAATCATTCATATTTATATTAAACAGGCAGCCTGCAGAGTGTTCAGAATTATAGCTTTTGAAACACGATAGTCTACAACCGAATATTAATCTTGTACACATTTTTATGAATGTGATACTTACGTGAAAATCGATGCTTTATTAGAAGTTTCTTGTTTTTATCTTACCACCATGAGAAAAAATTTTATTTATGAAAATCTGAAGCAGTACAAAACTCAGAAGCTCCACCTAGGTGCAACAAACATGGATATGATGCTAAGCAACTCTAGTCTTTCCATAAATTGAATAAAATTTAAGTTTGACAGCATAGTAATCCTTAAAGCAGCAATCCTCAAATTTCAACATGGCCTTGTATATTGTTAAATAAGCAACGCTAGAATGAGCTATAGAGTTGTTTTTTAAGAATATAATGAGTGAGATGGCAATTACATGAAGTGATCTGAACAAAGGTGTGTAAGCTTGGAAAAAACCACTTCCCATGGGTAAAATATTGATGCCATAACCAACCCATATGGCCCACAATTTCATTAAATAGAAGCTTCTTGATGTTAATTTTTTTAAAGGAGTAATGTTAATACATATGGAATAGTAATATATATGTAATAGTCTTTTAACAATTCTTTAAAAAATTAATGTATGTATAGAATCTGTAATATATATAATCATGAAAATAGTAATCTAACCTAATATTTTAGCATGAAAAGCTTACTGGAAGGCACAGTGATGACAG